CCAATTAAGAAAAATGTTAATTTAAAATTGCACCAGTATCGAATTGCCAGCACTTTGATAGCGCTCAATATAGATTAATATTTCATTTTTTATGTGAACAATTTAACCAAGCCAACTAAAATCATAACTATTCGAAAGGAATGTTAACGACATTGTGAATGGTAAGCTTATTTATAATGGTTTGGAAGTTATTTCTGATTTAATGTATTACTGTAGGAATGGCGATAATCAAGTTAAGTTCTTAAGTTGTATATATATGTACGAGTAAAAGTGACACTTGTAGCAATTGGGTTTCAATATCCTATACATCAAAATTTAACTAGTATTATACATAGACAGCAAACGTAAAGTAGTTGGAGCTACCTCGTGAGAGCATAAAAGTTCTCTTGTACAAATCTAAAAACAACAACAGTGAGAAACTTATTATTGATGTTATGTCTATTAGTATTATTATATTAAATATTTCACTAAAACATCAAAAAGGTTTTGGCTCGATAATAATTGTTTGGATATCTGAAAGTAACAAGCAATGATAATAAATTATCTACTATTTCATTGAGAGTGGACCACACTATATTTTCAGAATCAGCTGCTTTTCGAAAACATTTAAAAAGTAATAAAAAATAAATTTAAAAATATAGTCGCCTGAATAAATCTCGTTACTCGATAATTTAAAATAAAAAACCAAAATAAGAAAATATCCGCCATAGAATAATGTCAAAAATTAGCGCAGGAAAAAAACCTCTTTGAAAATATTGTGTACTTCTTGACTCTTTTCCAATTAATTTGGTTTCTGAAAGAAGTCTTAAGAACGACTGAACTGATTAGGTAATGTTATAGCGTCTCATCCTTTTGATCTGTCCACTACCAACACTACTCAAAAGTATTGTTACGGTATGCCCTGTGTTGGTCATTCTTCATGTTTAGTTTAATTGTAAAACCGCGATAAACCGGAATAATTATTACAATTTAAGTTAAAATCACATATCATATCAAATTATCGGACATGAGGCTGTATACCATAATGTTCTGGAAAAATTTATAGGGCAGGAAACATTGTAAAGAAATTTGACATCGAAATTGGTACGCTACACGAATTATAAGGAGATTTATACAGTTTTTACTTTAATATTTTGTATTCTCATATAACACATTTTACATTAGTACATACATATGCCGATAATTTGAGGCAACCTCGACAATGAAGCCGCCAAAATGTAATTTGACAGGCTTAACACTCTCATAATCAATACTAGTCCAACTTTTGTATTTTACTGCAGAAGCCAACTGCATTGAAATGGAAACAAGTTAAATGCGTGCAATAAATAAAGCAAACTATTTATGATACTACAAGTATAGCGTATCGCACTTGATCTTGCAATATGATATGATAAAATGCGCACACAATATTTAATTACTTACTTAGAAAAAGTTGATGTTGAAAACCCCTTTACGTACTTATGTCACAATGGAATTGATTTATTTATAATTGTCGAAGTTCTTCTTGCAATAAACTAGTTGATCGGTGGGTGTAATTTAATGCTCTTCTTGCTCTGTTTGTTATGCTGTCGCTGCATAGACGAAAGGCTAAAACGAAAGCGTAAGCGATAAGAACTGAATTACATATATTATTTAAGATTTTTTTTGTGATAATATAAAACTTCATATTTGAAATATGCTAAGTCTAACGGTCGCCAAAAATTATATTGACGGTAATATTTAGAAAATGCACATAGGATATACTTTTGTCGTTTTAGGCGATGTTTCTACATTAATTAAAAATTTAAGATTTTATATTGTAGTACTCTTAAATAATATGTGTTTCTAGTTTATTTACCAGACTGAAGTTGAAGATTAAATCATTTTACATTTTGTAGGCGCAGAAGTATGTTTGAAAATGAGCAGGTAGTAGTTTCCACGGAATAATCGATTGCTAGATGATATCATAACTTATTTCCTACATTCGTTTCCTTCAAGTCAGCATAAGGATAATTGTACTTGACTATTTTTTGAAATTTGCGTCGATTTCATCACATTCCTGGAAAAAAACGTCGGTCAACATCGTGTCATAACTCTCATTATTGGTGGTAACAGCATTTCCACACAAATTCGACTCACCCCAATAGCGACAATTTTGTTTGTTGATGAAGCTATTAGGCCAGAATTGGGCCTCATCTGAGAAGATGATATTTGGATGAACGTAAATTTGGAATTTTTCGGAGAACGTGAATCTAAAAGGGCTGATTGCATTAATTTTGGACATTGCTCAGATATACTTGAGAACTTATTCTTCTTCAACTTCCGGTCGATTTATTCATTTCAGGCACAAAGATATACTGTTGTTAGAAACACACTATTTCTGGAATTTGATGTAAATAACTCCCACATTGGCCGATATAAAGTCAACTGGAAGTTCGAAGAATTGACCCGATTCAACCATTTTTAAAACAAGGGTGTATATTATTATCAAAGAAACATTTTCCCCGAATTTCAATAATATATTATATCTCACAGATTGACCGATATTTTTGGCAAAAAGTCAGCTATACGCACTGGGGTCCCCATATTTGGCGTCTGAGTTCTTTAAAAGTTATGGTCAGATTTTGACAATTTTTGGGCAATTGATGAATCGTCTTGAGGACACTATTTATGAAAAGTTTTATCCGGATATTTTCCGGACATAACATAGGATTTTCAGGATAATGATATGTACTGAATTTGAAATCGGTCGAGTAAGTGCCGAGATATGGATTTTCTTCGCTCAAAATTTAACACTGGCTCCTATAAGGCCCTCTAGTACCATTTCGGGTGTAAAATTTTGTATCTCTAAAGCATTTAGTTATTGATTGACTGTGCTGTTAGTAGTTTTTAACAAAACCGTTATATGGGGAGATTACGGGGATATAATTCGATTTCATCCATTTTCAGTGTCGGTAGATCTGTACAAGAAACTTGTTAGAAGTCACGGTCACGCCCACTTTAAACAAAATTTTTAGTCCACTGGTGTCCTGTACCAAAATTACAGTTTTATATTTTAACTTAATAATTAGTTATGGCATTTTATATCTTTTCGATTAATATTGTTTTGTGGGCCGATTACGCCTCTCTACGAACTCGTCCTCAGTTCTTTGCCAAGGAAGTTTGCTACATGGAGTTCATCACGTAATTACGATATCCTAATTTTTACTCAAGTTACAGCTTACACGGACTTACGGACATAAAGTCACTCGGATTTCAACTCGTCTCGTTATCCTAATCATTTATATATAAGTACATAACCCCATATCTAACTTGACTATTTTTAGGTGATACAAACAGCCGTTAGGTCAACATAACTATTATAATCTGTAGCAGCATGTTGCAAATGTATACCTAAAAGTGCATGAAGAGACTTTATTTAGCGGAAAAGATGAAAACTTAAATCAAGAAGTTGGAAGTAATTAAGAAAATAAGTATGTATGTATGTAGTTGATTAGCAGATCTTAATGCACATTTCCATTGAATAGTTTGGCTCGTTTTAGAATACGTAAACAACTTTAAAATTTCTGAAGCTTGAATTTTCATTTTGCAGAAAAGATACAATTTTTACGGTTTTTGTAAATGTGCTGGAAAAAATTCTAAAATAATGTAAAAATTTTGTTCTATCACCAGACCTAAGGGTATTAATATCCTCAGATGTAATTCTTATACATCGACAAACAATATTTTTTAAAATTTTTTAAATTTACGAAGATCGTCTGAACGTCTGTTTTGAACTGTTATTATCAAAATTTTACATTCCATTTGGCGCAACATAGTAAACAGGAAAAAAGTGACTTATTGGTACACAGCTTTAACACAATATATGTTATGTAAGGGTAGCTAGTTTTTATACGTATGCATGTATATACATACATATGTATGTATGAGTATGTATGATTCATTAATCGTCTCTAATTTAACTCGTATACTTATTATTTCTGTTGCAAATACGTTATATACGTTATACATACATACAAACTTGTAGTAGGTGTTGCCTCCTTGAAACCTTTATTAATTTTTCAATTTATTTTGTTGTGCTGGCAAATTTTTTTTCGCAATAATGTTGGAATACGTTATTCTAGATATTCGCAATCAGATATTTTGCGAAAAGTGCTTTGATTGAGAGTGAGGTACGAATACTGCCGACGTAGATACTTACATAGATCAGGACGATGGCATTTGCTTTCATCGAAATTTCAACGCTCAACATTCTCAGTGAATTTGATGAGCTATTGTGTTTTCGGTCCAAATTATTTCAAACTCGTTTTGCATAAGCAAAATAATATTAATTAATAATAACGCGCATTATTAATGAATCTGAATTAAAAACCGTAATCAATGGATATTTATCTAGCTTTAAGGAATATGCTAAACTATAGGTAAAGTGTAGTTTCGAAGGTTCGGCGTAGTTCTGTCATAAGTAATAAAATGCTATTTATCAACATTACAGAGAACCACATCTTGAAATCGGATACAAGCTCTCGATAAAAACTTCCATTCGGAACATACATACTTACATATATATGTACATACACACATATATATGTCCATATGCACATACTATATCTAAAGCAGTGAAGGAATATCTGCCTTGCCTTCAGGTATTTCAGTAAGATTGCACAATTTGTTCACAAGTATTTGCCACTCACCTACATATGTATGGACATAGCTGTGTGTATGAACATATGTATGTAAATGCATATACACAAGTATTTGTTATGATACCTCGGCCATTGCACTTGACAAAACCAATTGCGATTCATTTTGTTCGACCGGTTCATTTATTTCTACGTTCGATCAGTTTCTGGTTCTTCGGTTCGTTGCGGCTCTATTTCTTTTTGCGTATAATATTGTGCTTGCTTAAAACACTATTACATGCAATCTTTTGATTACTTCAGCCTGTGCATACGAAATTGTAACAGTGATGTTAGCGTTTATTTTTTCAATTCATGTTGTTATTGCTGTGCATTGAATTCTGCGCAGAAAAGTTGATACCGTTGTTATGGGTTTGCTATGTTAACATTTTGTTAGTATTATTTTTATTGTTGTAATGATTAGTTTTGTTACCATTGTTACAGTTTATTATTACATAGCTTCTATGCAGCTAGCGGTGGTGCTGTGTATTAAGTACCTGTTACAGCTGACTTGCTGTCTATTTATTTTCTTCTGGTAAGTATTTGGTGTATTTCAATTTGGGGTTGCTGGTATATATTGGAGGTGCTGGCCACTTTTGAGCACAGTTCGTTAACAGTCCTAGTCGCGAATCTAGGAGGTTCAACCAACTAGAAAATAAGAAAAAAATATTTAAATTCAAACATACGTTTTGAAGTATGCGCAATTAGTTTTATATTTACTTACATTTTCAAGGAACAGGTTTAATCTGAGGGTTTAATCTGAGCTTTGCAGTCAAAAAGGTGTAACTTTAACTGAATACGGTATAGCAAAAGTGTGATCTAGAAATTATAAACTATGAAAGAATACGTAAGTAAAAATTCACAGAAATTGCTTGTTTATTAATAAAAATTGGTATTGCTTTTCGACTATATTTTTATATAACTGGAACCAATTATAACGATTTTAAAATTACCATCGTATTAACATAACTACAAGCGCATACAAAAAACATCAAATATTTTTCCTAATTCTTTTTACATTGATACTCATTTTCAAATGTAACACAATTGTTTAAACAGTCGACCATTTAAGTGTTAAAGGCTTATGAAATATTTCGTTATTATGATAATTTTAGAATTGAGTGGCGTCTATTTGTGGTACCAAATCAAATTTGCTTCAGGTAACAAAACCTATTTTAATGCCGCACAAAAAATATCTTAAGAATATTGTGTTAATTTATTTTACCTACTTATCGGTGATTTGACAATTGATACAGTATTGCATATTTTATGATATATAATGACATATAAAAGCATTGAAAAGACGTATATTAGACCGATTTCTCCACTTTAGTTCAGCAAAGTTGATTCCCGTTTTTTCTCTTTGTGAAGTTAAAAAATTGCCCCACCCATTTTTTGTCATTCTTAGTGGTATCGACTCTCTATAACTTTAATGCATACATACCTATACTTATATATTTCACAAGTAACTAAGGGAGTTTTCGGTAAGGCAACCTGAGCAGTATGCATGATGCAACCAGTTCGAAAAAGCAATCCTGGCATCTTTGCCAAAATTGAAAGTTCGAAAATGCATTACTGTCGTAGCTGTTGCACAAAAACGCAAAAAACTTGCAACATTTGAAAAGCAGTTGAACAAAAAATTACACCAAAACCAACTGTGCTAGCTAAAATGCCATTGCAATATATTTATGTTAAATATAATTTTATTATTAAAGTTCGATTATATTTGTGACTTTTTTTAATTTTATAGGAAATAAGTGGTAGAAAGAGTGCGTCAAGTGCATTGAAGCTATCACTTTTAGAATAATCCCTTTGACTCTAAAGCAATTCGCAATTAATACATTTTTTTTTACACTATTCGTTCTCTTTTTGTACCTTTGTAATAGAAATCGATCATTTTTGCTTTCTAACTCGTCAGTGAGAGTATTAATATAAAATATATTGCACATTTTTATGGAAATTTTTGAAAGCGCAGTTTTTAGCGGTTTCAAGCAAGAGCATCGCCAGCATAAAATTAATAGTGCATAAGTGCGCAGTGTTGCCACTATTTACGGCATTAACGAAAAAGCTCTAAGTCTTAAACTGTGTCTAAAACTGCAAAAAGTTCAAAATTAAAAAACTGCACAATAAAGAGAATCATATTAAGGAAAATAAGCGCGCATATTTTGAAAATAGAGGAAATTAGTCCAGTACTTTCCTTAGCTCCACTTAGCTAATACTGTTCATAGGATATGACCACCTTTGGTCCAACGCTGCATAACATAGGACCATCCACCAAACTACTTTGTATAGTCCAACATCTACTCTATTAACACTATGGACCACGCTTCTGATTTTTTATTTATTACTCGTATTATACAATTTTAGTTATAATTTAACCATAAATTAATTAATTGAAATAGACCTGCAAAATAAACAGATCGTTTAAGGTATAATTCAAAGAACTCTTACTTAATACTCTCGATTGCGCTGGATTGTTGCATTTAGTGCAGCCACCATTCGAGCTATCTAAGTAATAAAATTGACTATAGTTAAAAAAATAATATAAATTTAAAAATCAACTCACTTACCTACAAATAATTGGGTAATATCCGCAACCTTCCGACGAAGTTCATAAACTTTCCCACTTCTGATATTTTGGTTATTTTCCCACTTGGAACACATGAAAATACATATAGTACATAAATAAGTAGTTAAATTTTACAATTTACAATACATCTTTTTTGAGGAATGATATATTTATTTACGATACTCTATTCCGCATTGACAATTTTATCTGATGGCATCATTGCAATGAAAAAATCACAAGGCGCAGCAGACGCTAAAGCGGCGCCGTTTTCACGACTTTGTAATGATACCTCATTTGCTACTGCCAATTGCTTTTTATAACGCTTTTATTAGCTTCACCTGTGTGTTTGTATGTATATTTGAAACATTTTTCTATGCAAGTGATAACATGGTTATAAATTGAGATATCTTGATGAGACTTGCTACATATGCTCCTTGGCACCCAAGAGCGGTCGGTATTGCATATGGGCGTAATCGGACCACTGTCACGCCCACAAAACGCCATTAAAAGAAAATCTATAAAGTGTCTTAACTAAGCATTAAATTAAGATACCGAACTGTCATTTGGTACAGGGGATCGCGGTAACAGGGGACACTTATTGGTCGATTTTTTTAAATTGGGCGTAGTTTCGCCCCCTAATTGGTTTAATGTACACATTTTCCTAACTGCTGAATCTAACTCAACCAAATGCTAAGATTAAATACTGTTTTAATACTGTGAAAATGGGTAAAATTAGATAATAACCACGCCTACTCCACGAAATACAAATGTATAGAAAAAAAATTATATTTTTATGAACAACAACTGAGTGAAGATCTAGGATTGAAAGTAGCTAGAACCCAATTAAATAGCCAACCAAACACGAAAAATACAAAGGCTGACTTAGAAAACGTCAATTGCAATGTAGAAGAACAAAGTATAATGTTCTATAGCAAATCTCAAATATTTTTGACATTGCAACGTGTTTTAAAACGCATTAAACCGGCAGTCGATGCGCAGTGACAGAGAAAATCGCGCATCACAAATAAAGCTTTCATAGATATACTCGAATGCTACAAAGCTTGCTTAAAGTTGTCAGTAGTACGTTTTCGAAGTCAGCCAATATTCCACTTTTGACATGGCCCAGTGCAGCATAACATGCGGTTAAGTATGTAACCAGGCTTTTTTCCAAGCATAGTCCATTTGAACCAAGTGGTTGGTCTTTAAATTTTGGCAGGGTATACATATGTACTTGTATGTCTGTATTTAGCATTTGCACTGAAACACTTTCAGTTATATGACATTTATCCATTGTTGAAATCGTTTTATTATGCTGAAATAAAAGTAACTCTCAAACTAGTTTTATCGTTTTAGAATATATGTATGTAAGTGTGAAAATTATGTTATTTACTTTGCCTTTGTCTTTTCAGTTAATTTTACTTGTGTTACTCATATCTACATGTAGCGCAACTATCCATGGAGCCGTCTCAACACAATTTCAACAAATTGATCCTCATAGTCATACCTATTCTTATGGCTATGCTGATCCCAACTCCCAGAAGCAAGAGACACGTTCTTACGATGGTGTTACACGTGGTTCATACTCTTACGTAGATGGTAATGGGCATGTGCAATCGCTGTCCTATGTTGCTGATCCACATCATGGTTTCAACGCTGTTGGCACAAATTTACCAAAATCTTCCCCATCTCCAGCTACTCACTTCGCTGCAATACACAGCGCTGCCGCCCAGTCATATGTGCCATACGCCCATCACTATCCCCAACATATTCCGATACTTACAGATGGTGGTGTGCCCGTGGATACACCAGAAGTACAACACGCACGTGCTGAACATTATGCTGCATATGCTGCTGCTGCTGCAGCTGCTGCAGCTCATCCGGAATCGTATGATAGTCAATCTCATCATTTGTATAAACGGTCATTATACAGTAACCCCTGGAACTACGCCCATCAGAATGCGATAACCCATGTGCCACTAACACATGGAGGCGTTCCTGTTGATACACCAGATGTACAAGCTGCCAAAGCTGAACACTTTGCAGCGCATGCTAAGGCTTTAGGTCATGTGACACAAATAAATGGAGCACCCTCGGACACACCTGAAGTAGCTCATGCAAAAGCTGCCCATTATGCTGCTCATGCGGCTGCTCGCACTGGTTATCCTATTGGTCACACTGTACCCGTTAATGGCTATCACATTCCTGTGATTCACAATGGGGTACCAGTCGATACACCAGAAGTTCAACATGCCAAGGCAGCACATTATGCGGCAGTTATTAAGGCTTCATCTAGAGCTGGTCACGGTGAACCAAACGGTAATGGAGGTAATTATGGCGGACATTGGAATGATCCACATAACAGTGGTTATACAGGGTACAAACATCGAGGCCCCATACATATTCCAGTCATCCACAATGGTGTGCCCATTGAACCACCAGAAGTTCAGCATGCTCGCGCCGCCCACTTAAATGCTTTGGCTTCTGCTAGTCATGGTTCGGGGCATGGGGGCTACTATGAGAACGATGGCCAATATCATGGCCAAAATTATTAAATCCTGACTTTATATTTTAGTATAACTACGTGCGGATATCGGAAAGAAATATACTTATATTCATCTAACAAAACAAAACGGCGGGCATGATACGAATAAATCGACCATGATTGCACTCATATACTAGAAAAATAACATGAAGCGATATGATATTGTCTCTCATCTTCTTATTTGCTTAAATCTTTTTTTACTCTTTGCTCTACATAAAAACCCATGATTACTCTCCGAATAATATAAACGAGTTGTTTGCTATAAGATAAGCATGTTAGATCGAAATCATCTCTAATGAATTGAGGAATATTAATTCACAATTTCACTTTCAAAAATTCTTATGTACCTACTTGTACACATGTATATATATATAGTGTTTTAATCATATAGTGATACATATTTATAAGATAGTGTATATATATTATATAACATATAAAATTTATTTAAAATTGCACTTCTCAAAATGTTTGTTTTTAATTATTGTATATGATACCCGAAGAAGACCCCGGCCACGTGTTGCTGTTGCTAAGGTATACATTAAATTACATTAATATAAACTGGTATTTATGAATAAGGGCGAAAATGTTATAGGCGGTAAAAATGCACGTGGTTAAAATTTGAACATTACTTAAAAGTTTTATTTTTCATCGATACAAATCGCTTAATGTTTTTAACAACAAATCAACATAAGATGTTACATTTTTAGATCATTAGTAGGTAGATCATTCGTAATTTTTCACAATACACCCAATACACCGAGTTGCCGAATAGGTGAGACCTTGTTTCACTGATGTTGAAGAATTAATTTCGAATGGAAATAAAATAATTAATAATAATGCTTATCCTTATATCGCGCATCCTCAACAGTTACAGGCCGCAAAATATTATTTTGTATATTTTATAAAATTTCAAAATATTTTTTAAGAATCAAAAGATGGGGACGCTTCTTCGATTTTGAAAGCGAAAAAGTAATAGCTTCAAATTCAATCGAAGCTCAGTTAGCCTATATTAATATAAAACAACACTTTTTTGTCTGAAATAATAACTGAATTGAAAGTAAAAAATCATCAGCAAAACAAATGCAACTGATTGAGAGGACTGTTACAACTATTCAAGGTGTGCAGGGTGAAGTTGGCCGCAAAATCAAAGAGAAATTGTATACCATTCTGAAAAAAATAAAGGCTTTAAAGAACTTAAAGATATATCTGTGGTGCTGAGTTCAATTCCCAGGGTTAACGTAGAAAGAACGTTTTCTTTGCATAAAACATTTTTGCAGTCAAATAGTGAGAGCTTTAACTTTCGGGATAGTTAGTTAAACAAATATACTTGTATTTTAATTTGTTTGAAACAAATGAAAAAATACGTTTCATTGAAAAATCAAAATCTGAATAATTTTAGAGATTATTTTAATACTTCTGAGTTCTAACAATGGAACATAGTTCTGATTGTTGCATTGTTAAAAATATCATTACAGATTGTATTATTAAGCATAAAGAGGTAATTGCATTTGAAAAGATAACTATAACGTTAGAGGCATAGGTGAGCAAAAGAAAGGTTTTTCGTTATAAAGATTAAGGTTATTAGTTTGGAAGATACCAAACTGTATATAAGTGGAGAATAACTAAGTTTGCGTGTAACCGTACATTTTATACTATCGCAACTTGCAAGGATCAAAGCCAAATCTAAATACCTTTGGGTGTTGGCAAAAAAAAATTTTGCGCAAGAGCTCATTGTTCGACGAAACCGTTAATAAAATAACTATCAAATTTGGTATCTTATTTTGAAGGTCATAGACTCGCTTAATTTTATTATTATATATTAATTCACATCAACAACAATTATAATAAAATCGTCCTCAAATGAGATATACCATATGTCACATAAACTCAAACGTCAACCAAAGGATCGAAATTCATTTTCTTAGGGAAATCAGATTTAGACCAAGACCAATTCAATTTATATTTAGCGATAAACCATTAATATAATTTTATAACTTTTAAGAAATCGTTTTTACTTAATTTTTCTAAAATGTCACACATTTTGACCAACCTAAACTGTTTAAAGTTAGGTCGAGGTAAAGCATACAGGCAATATCATCATTTGACTCTTAGAGTATAAAGTGATTAATCGCAAGTAGTGCAAGTCTCAAAAAATAAAAGAGCATTAGTTGGCAATATTAAAGAATTAGTACAAGAGCCAAGAGAACTCCATCCAAATTAAAAAGCCCTGGTATTATTAAAAATACAGGCAATTTGAAAATTATTTAACAAATATAAAATAAAAAAAACACGGAAATGTCGAACTTTGACGTGATATGGAAGGAAATCCGCAGAAACTAAACAAAGTCCGAAGAGATGGAAGCAGATCTAAAGGATAGCCTAAGTCATCAAATAGTGGAGAAGGCAATAAAAAATACTTAGAGCAAAGTATATATGTACATGAATACGACCAACGTAGATAGACTTGAAAAATACGAAGCATCAATAAAGCTTTTGTGTAAATTATTTGACAGAAAACACGGAATGTGACGTACGGAAAATACAATTTTTAATGAGAAATAGAAAATTTGTGTGCTGACATCATCGATATCATACAAAATCTAAGGAAGCAAAAAAACATATTAAATAATACAAAAAATGAGAAGTACATACAGACGAACCACGAGGAAGTGAAAATCTAAGGATAGAAAAATATGTAAGCCCAAATAAATGCGACCACCAACCACGCAGCGTGGCAGAAGTAGAAGAAGAATGCGTTCAAATATTTAAAGATGAGGATCAATCTGTACACAGTTTAAGAGAGGAAGATGAAGCAAATGAGGAGAAAGAGGTTTTGCACAAGCCGACACAATTACCGAAAAGTGTGAAAATGTTTTAGGCTAGCAATATCGAAATTCCACTGGAGAAGAAGAGAAAGATTACGTAGATGACGGGGAGCAGCCAACTATCAGCACGCGAAGATGCTAAAATGAAGAATCATGTTGATGAAAACCAAAGTCGCATCCTTGCCAGCAAGGAAGATCTAAATAGCTTTTACAATGTTATCAATAAACAAACATTAGTTAATAAATTGATGGAAATATATCCGACAGTGTCCATTGCCTCAAAGGATTTTATGGCACAATTTATGTGCAATACTTGCTTGAAAAATGTAAACATTGCCCTGCAGTGGATGGCACAATGTGAAGATCACAATCAGCCGAAAGTTACAAAAATGTTATATTAGATAAATGGGATTAGTATTGACCCGATTTTACACATTAGCCATTAATCAAATGGAAGTTAAATGTTTTTTATATGGGAAGTGTTTGAGTAAGCTCCCACACTAAATTTAGTTGAAATTAGTCAAGTAGTTCCAGAGGTAGACCAGAGGTACCTGTTCTTATAAAGCGCTTCCCTACTATCTTGGTTGTGAAGTTTAATGCTTGTGGTGGTGCATTTGTTCAGGGAGTTCTCACACTTTAAGTAGTTTTTAACATAACCTGATTTTACCCATTTTCAAAGCGTACGAAGAAGTGCTAAAAAGAAGTTTAGTTGAGTTAGTTTTAGTGGTTTGGAAGATATGTACATTTAACTATTTAAGGCTGATGGTGTCCTTTGCTACTGTGATCCGGTTTACCAAATTACATTTTTGTATCTAAATTTAGTGCTTAGTTATGGCACTTCATAGGTTTTCTGCAATACCGAACTTCTTTAGGTGCCAAGGAACGTACAAGCAAGTTTCAACAAGATATGTATCTCAATTTCTACTCAAGTTATCGGTTGCAGGGATAGTTAGTCAACGGATTTTAACTCGTCTTGTCATCCATTTTTTGTTTTTAGAACCTCTACCTACAGTGTGAAAATAGTTGAAATCGGGTGGCAACTCCGCCCACTCCCCATATAACTGTACTGTTAAAAACTACTAAAAGCGCGATAAACCAAGCACTAAACACGCCAGAGATATTAAATTTTTTCTCTGGGATGGTATGGGATGACTTTATAGGAACCGCGTTCAAAATTAGACAGTGGGCGTGGCACAGCCCACTTTTAGGTGAAAACCCATATCTTGAGATCTGCTTAACCAATTTCAACAAAATTCGGTACATAACATTATTCTCTTCTTTCTATGTTGCAGTGCGAAAATGGGAAAATGGGAAATCGGACTACAACCACGCCTATTTCCCATATAACACCATTTTAAATTCTATTTGATTCCTTCACTTTCCAGTATGCAAATCAAGCAACAATGACTGTATCGGAATAAAACTTTGCGTGAATAATGCGTTTAAAGTATGCCACCTTGTGACCAAAAATTGTCTAAATCGAACCAAAACTGTTCAAGCTTCTAAGTACTAAATATGTGGACCCCAGTGCCTATAGTTGACCTTCTACCGAAAATATCAGCCAATCCACAAAGAAAATCATTTGACTTTGCGAGAGTATAAAATGTTCGGTTACATCCGAACTTAGCCCTTCCTTACTTGTTATTTATTAATTTTGCTCCGCCTTTTTGTGTTTCACTTCGATGTGATCGTACCCATAGAAAAGTAAACATCAAGATTTTCTGTCAAAACAAATGTCTGACCATTAGAGCTTGAATACGTTGAATGTATTTAAAGAAAATTCCAATATGTACTTTATTTGTTATTTATTTACGACCTTCTTTAACTAAATAATTTACAAAAATTGATCTTCAGAACAATCTTTGCTCTTTGAACACTTAATTATATTTTGCAAGTAATATTTACTTCCACACTTTTTTGTTGTTATATATTTTTTATGAATTTGCGTTGTATATTGATGCATTAATGTGATTAAAATATTATTTATAACTATATTTGTATTTAAAAGCTGCATTCTTATAAACTGATATGGAGTAAATAAATTTAACTCCTTAAAAATGTGAATATTAATCAAATTGAAAAACTGACTTAACGAAAATTTACGAAAGATATGTAACTATTTTAAATTTAAATTTAAAAAATTTTTCATTTCCTTCCTACTAGTAGAGTCGGCCATGCCTTCTCTATGGTATACATTAAATACCATTAAAATAAACTGTTTAATACAGAGAAATCGTTATTTACGAATAAAGGCGAAAACGTTATTGCCTGTATAAGAAACTAAGGCATTGTACTTGAGGTTTAATTTTGAATTGGAAAAAATATTGAATTTTTCACTTGGCATTTTACTCAAAATTATAAAAGTATAATAATAATATATTTCGATTTTTGAACACGTGATTATGTTTATTGATTAATTGCTTTGACTTTTGACATAATTGAGATATAAACTATCCCATACTTTATATTGGATAAAACTGAACACAGTCTGCTTAACTGTACAAAAATCGATTTAGTAGCTTAGACGTTTGTCCCGAACTAAACTTGACACTTAATTTTTTATAAGTATATTGAGAGGCTGTACATAAATAAGCCCCCGCAAAAGTTGATGCACACAACGCCATTTACTGGCAATACCGGAACAAGTACAAAAACAAATGCCGCAAAGAATTGTCAAAAAGATTTTCACAAGTTATCGTAGACATAAACGTAAACGATCATCGAGATGATGACGTAAAATCGCTCCATACAAAATACGAGGTGTATTAAACAAATAACGGCAATTTTCGTTTTTTGAAAAAATATTTATTCATTTGACTAAATAATTGAAAATAGTTCCCTTTCGATATGATGTATTGTGCCCGCGCTTCTTCCAATCGTCGAAACACTTCTAAAACTCGATTTTTGGATTTCCCTTTAGCTCTTTCAACGATGCGCTTTTAATCAGAGAACGTAAAGGAACGAGAAGGTGCAAATCGAATCAGCGATCATACTAAAACATGTTTCTGCTAAATAGTACCGAATTTGTAAGAAAATGGTGAATACCCTACTCGGCTACTACTTTTTCAGCTTCACACAAAATTCGATTTGCTTCTTCACATTCCTCTATGTTCTCTGGTAAAGCGACGGCCCTTTAAGGTTCTCTGCAATTTGGGAAATAGGAAAGTCACACGGAGCCATATCTGGCGAATATGAAGGCTGGGGCATTGTTACAGTATTGTTTTTGGCCCAGAATTCACGAACAAATTCTTTGACCCATTTCTTTTAACAAACTAAAATCACCAAGCTCATAAAAACACATCTAGCCTTAACGGCTGGGTATGTATGTTATATCAACATAATAAAAATTCTCAAACCCGT